AGACCATTGAAAGCTCTGGCGTCCGTTCTCGTGGCCCCAACACTATACCCTAGGGTTCATCGACTGTTTTTAAAATAGGCTTGCAGCCGCGACCTTAATTATCAAGGAGCGACTATTTTGATGGGAAGATCTGAATCTGAATATCCACTGTGGTGGATAGCTGCGCGTTTCAAACCTCTCAGTTAATGCTCAAAGGAGGGCCTGAGACAAGGGTCTCAACAGCCCTGTGTGGAAATAAACTAGAAATGGAAGGTGTATCAGGTTGATTTGTCTACCCAACACTGGATAGGCACATACAGGATATAGCTGCAACATTCCCAATTTAGATGGTTCACCATGCATGCATGTGCATGCACAGTGTTTATTCAAATTGCATGGATCGAAGTCACATGCCCAAACTCTTCCCCACGTGCGCTATGTATGACGGGGCTGGCCTGATCCTCATCAATGAGAAAAGCTTTGAAACGACGTGCAGGGCTTGGTTGTAGCTTTCAAGAGTGAAAAGCACAGCAAAGTTGTTTTGGATAGGGGGGTATCGGGGGTTCATCCTTCCCACTTGATCTAGGTTTCTTTGAGACATCGACAGACGGTGACATCGTGGATTTGGACAAGGAATGCGGTACGCCTCCGCCTCCTTGTGCGTCCTGCATTGGGAATGCTTGCCTTTTTTTCAAACGCCTGATCAGGTGTTTAGCATTGCAACATTCAGCATTGATTGCATGAAGTTTGTGCAACTGTGCATTCATGCACGCATGTTATTTTGAGCTTGCAAAGTGTCATATGTGCAACTTGGACACTGCAGTATGTGCACCTCATATGACTTTTTTTTGGCTTGGCTCCATGAAGTGGTCGGGCTAACAAAGAAACGGGGATGAGTGCATCTTGCATGCATGCATGCACATGCATGGCAATCGATATAGAGGACACTTTTGCACTGGCTTGTGGTCACTGAACTTAGCCATGGCGTCTTCAGCAGTGGCACCAGCACCAGCACGCATCACTCGGACAGAGGAGGTTAAGGTGTTTGGGCTAAATGAGCTAGTAGTTAAATTATTATGTTGATCGATGGTGGATGGGTGGTTTGGTTTGCGCAAGATTACAAGCAGCTAGACCGCTTTGATCGAATTGACCTGCGGAGGCCTTCCTCATGGACCTGGTTGAAGACGATGAGTTTTTGCAACAGCGCAGAAGGATTCTACGTCAACGTGCTGGACTCACAGAGAAAGACACAAGAAAGGCCATGCCTGAATTTGAAGAGTGGTCAGGTGTGCTGTGATGCGTTGATTTTGTTGGTTCCTGGCTTATATGACATGACTTCTGTATGAGAACCATTGGACAAACCGGTGTTGTTTTGGGGACTTTGACGTTTGGGAATATCATCCGCCATTTATCCCATGATCCTTTCATGGATATTTTGGTCTCTAGATTCGATGATGCTTGCTTAAAGTCTTTGTAGTCGAATGGATCGGACCTTGTACAGGGTCACAGCCACATTGGGATCTTTCAGGATCCATCACCCCAACTCCAACCAAATTTAACTAGCACAGTGGAATCGAGAATGTTTGTGCGCATCCCACCCACCTTTCGACTCCACTAAGGAGTGAGCAATGATATCATCTAGAAAATATGTTGTTTTCCCAAACACGGGAGCTTTGGCTGCAAGGTCCCCAAGTGGCAGTTCATCATCATCGAGAAAACTCGGGTCACTTCTCGGGAGGCCCTTTTCTCACTTTGCTGCGTCTGTGTGACTAGCGTGCGCACGCATGCAAGTGAACCTTAATCCCTGGGGTCAGCGATGCTGCACCACATGCTCATGGATCAGGTGGAGTCTGACCACAACTTCAGCATTGTCATGGACTTCCTAGCGAGCTTTGCAGATGACATCCCTCCTGCCAATGACATCAAGGACATGCCGTTGAACTTACAGAACGTAAACATAATATATGCATGCATATATATATATATGTATAAACATTAAACTCTTCAATGTAGCTGCTGGGCTCAAATTACAACGGAATTACATTCCAAAGTTATTGAGTTATACGTAATAATATACGATCACATGTGTATGTGCAAACCTTGCCCCAACGTTTTGGAGGATGCACTAACTTGGTGCTCGATGTTCTACAAGCTGAACCCCTGGAGTGAGCGTGCCCTTCATGAGGCCTCCCATCCTGCATTCCTACCAGTTGACTCGGGCTGTCAGGATGTACATGTTGTCATGGTCATATGATGCGCTAGGCCGCATATTCACACAACAGTTGAAAAGAAAATCACAAAAGTTGATCAATTCATGCAGGATCTTTTGTTAAGAACTTCTAGTCTGGTGTTTTGATGGCTGCGAGGCCTGGGCTGACACTGAAGGTGGTATCCTTCGGGGCTGTGCCGCATACTGCTTGGACAGGTTCCAACGGTTTGCAAAGTCCAGGCAAGGCTGCTGCCTTTTGATGTGGTGGGAATCGATACCGGTTTGCTCAAGTTTGGATCGCAATTGCGCCCATGGTGCAATATAAATTTATATAATTGATCATAATTTCTTAGTTCATCAGCTTGATCAAGTTTTACAACCGTCGTCCCTAGATAGGAGGCCCCTGTAGAAAGTACTGTACACTGTGAAACGTCGTGCACGTTGCAGGCCAGGGCATGACCGCATGGATCAGATCAGGGGTGTGATCCGTGCAAAGCTTGAGGACTGCCAGCCAATATGTCAAATAACGTACGTACGTGATAATTATAAGATATCGTCCAATAATGATAATCTTGCAAGTGATTGAAAGCACCCCTATTTAGATCGATCGATAGATTGATATAAACGTTGCAACAGTGCTGCTTGATTTCTGGAATGGTGTCTCAGAAGCACATCAATCAACTTAGATCGATAGATCCAAGATCCAAATCGATTTTCTTTTGTTCATGATGGGCCTTGCCAAGCCATGCGACGCGTTCGAACAGCACCCTCTCAGGAAGCTGGACGCCTGTCTCCTGAAGGCAAGAAAATACCGTCCCGGGGCATTGGTGCAATGAGGTTGAAGCAGGCTGAGGCCCTCTTGTCGGATGGATGATTGTTGCGTTCACCCAGCTCGAATGTTTCTTCCTTTCACCGAAATCTCATGAAATCTCGACTCTGGCTGTGTCATTCCCCAATGCTTCACTAGCTAAATTACCATTTAAGATTTTGAGTGGGGGGCTGCCCTGAGGCTGCCAAAAGAGCCGTGAACATGGACATGGTGGAGACCCAAATGCAGGACCAAGAAGATTCCCAGGCTGCCTTTTCAGCACTATCACCGATCCGGCCAATTCAGAGCTTGGACGAACTTCAGGCCCTTGCTGGCGAAGAGCCGGCCCAGGATGAAGGGGAAGAGGAAGGGGAGGAGGAAGAAACAAGCGATGATGAAGAAGTACCAGACAGTGATGTTGTTACAATCCATGACAACATTTGTATCGAGATACCGGATGAACCCAAGGTGGAAGAGGAATCAGTCCCGCCTGCTCCAATGAAGCCCGCCGAGGAAGCTATGGAACCAGCCGATCCCCACCCCACTGCTCCTGCACCTCTTCCAGAGAGCAGGTCAAGTCACCCAGAACCTGTGGCGCCAGAGGAACCGGCTGATGGTCCAGGGGCCAAAAGGGGTGAAGGAAATGAGCCACTCCAAGAAATAGAGGTCAAAGAATTTGAGCAGGTCCAAGAACTCATTGATTCAGAACAGGAGGAAACACAGGACCCAAATTCATCAAAAGGAGTTTTCAAGGTGGGACCTGCAGTCGGGCTTTTGTGGATTATGTTTCGGTTCAATGCATAGGTTGTGGAGTCAAACATTATTCACATGCAGCTTTTGTAGAACTTCTTGGGAGCTTATGTAATGATCGTACCTACAGGTGCAGACTCATGCTTAGGGTATATTGTAAAACAATGTAAAACACATAGTAGGCCTCATCTTGCTTTCAGGACCGGAAGGCGCTAAAGGAAGAAGTGAAAATTCCACAGAGCCTCCAAGAACAGGCCGAAGAGCAGCTGAGACTTATCGAGCCTGTTGAGGCAGCAACAGAGGAATGCAAAGCTGAGATTGCCAAGGCTGCATGTCGTTTTGGAATGTGGGGTGGGTTTGAACCGGGTCGCAAAACGACCTTAACTTTTCATGCATGGTCATAGCCCTCATGGCCTGTGGTCATTGCATTTATTAAAGAATCCAATAATGCACCTGGGCAGTGTTTTGACTTCTGTTAAAAAACGATCAAGGTCCATGCATATCCATCTCCAGGGCTTTTCATGGATGAACTAGTGCACACTGATGTTTCAAACGGACGACCTCGAAGATTCAGTTCTAGGCTCTATGCAATGAACCAAGATTAATTTAAACACCTGGCTGAGCTTTTACATGAAACATCGATCACTTGCTGCCCCCAGCCTCAAGGCACAGGCAGCTCTTCGAAAAATGCAAAGGGAAGCTGAAGATCCTGACGAGATGCGGGAAGAGTTGCAGGAGGAAGAGCATACAAAGAAGACCAAGAAAGACAAAACCAAGGAGAAGAAGGCATGTCGAAAGGGTGGAAAGGGCAAAGGCCGAGGACGTGGAAGGGGAAAGGGAGCAAAGACTGAAAAGAAAAAGGATCCGGATATGCCTGAGAGTGGGAGGGAGAAACCGGATGATGAGAACCTTCCCGATCCGCAAATGCTGGGAACAACTGAAGTGGCAGAACCTTCCTCGTCAACAAAGAAGAGAAGGACACTTGGGAGGAAGAACTCAAAATTGAAAAGACTGCGAGTTCTATCTCCATCGAGCTCGGCCAAGAAGAAGCGCAAGACAGATCGTGATCCTGAAGCGCCGGCAAAACCACATGAGCATGATGTTGTGGAGGTGATTGACGACGATGAAGAACCAGCCCGTGTTAGTGATGAGAGGTCAGGGCCTACTGATGGTGATCAGATTCCCAACTCTAAGAAGACAGAAGAAAAGAAGAAGAAGAAGCGTCGTAAGAATGGAAAGAAGGGAAAGAAGAAGGCTTTGAAGAAGAAAACGCCCAAAGAGAGGAAAGCAGCCGATCCAAAGAAAGAAGTGAAAGAAGGTGAGGTGAAAGAAGGTGAGGACAATAGCAAAACAAAGAGGAATACCAAGAAAACCAGTAAGGAGACTGAGGAGGAAAAGAAACAACGGGAACTTGAAGACAAGGACATCAATACTGCCTTGGATCCCATGTATGATGCCCTCATGCATGCATAATTAACATGACATGCGTATTATGGAAACCTCCAAGTGTGGATGCTGGGTCAACGGCAGTGTGGACTAAACCAAATTGCTGTTGTAGTCACTGCGTATGTCAGCATTGTCTAACACCAAAAACATGATTCCTGTTCTCCAGATTTACTTGGCAGCAGGAACGGAAGTGGAAGCTCCTTTGTGAAGTCGCCCAGCAAGATGGCTGCATGACCCTGGCAAAAGACATGTGCAGTGCAAAGCGTTGGCCCAAGACATTCCTTAATTAATGTTGTTCTTAAGAGATGAGTTGCCACCAAAACGATGTCAACTACACTAGATCTAGTCGACTTGAACAAATCTGATTATGTTATTTCGTTGATTTGCTGTGCTTATATGGAATCTACCATGCCACTGTGAGAAGAACCCACAACTTAATTTACAAATTTGCTCAGGTCGTTCACCCTGCATCCTCCTGATGGCTCAACTCCACCTTCCGGAACTGGCAAGTGCTCAACCATTGGGGTTTTGTTGGGTGCTTAGATCGAATTATATATATAATATATTGTATACAGGCTCCTTCAAAACAACATAAAAAACATACTGCTGCAGTGTGTGTGTGGTTTCTCAGAATGTCTCCAGGTTTAGGACTCTTGACCACCCTTTGACCAGTCAAGTCTCGGTCCAACCGGCGCCTCAGGTTGCAGCAAGCCAGGAGCCAGAGCGCAGCCTTCCATGTCGGGCTGGCCGAAGGTATCACTGAGAGGGTTGAAGAGTTGAACAAGACCCATGATGCTTCTTTCCAGGCCATCTTCTTTGCCTTGAATGGAATGGGATGTAAGTAACATGGAATCTGAATGAATGAATCTACCAAAGACGGTCATCTAATCTACCAAAGAAGGTCATCTCAAAATATCTGAATCTTGACATGACGTGTTAACACCAAGGATCTCAACCTTAGATCTCAAATCACTGCAGGTTCGGAAGAAAGGTGTCACTGTGGGATGGACCGGCAATGGAGGATGTGCTACATCGCACGGGGCCACAGCCCACTGCATCGATTCGATAGTGTTTATTCAATTTTTTTGGTATATTGTATTTTCGACCATGAGTTCGATTTGCGCCAAGATTACAAGAGAGATTCCGATCCTCCATGCATTTGATCCAACCCAAGACACACTTGTTTGTAATCGATCTATGTGCATGACTTGCAAGGGGTGCTAGCTTGCTTGTCCACAAGAAACTGCCAGACTGTGTGAAGAGGGAACGCACCATAGGAGCTCAAACAATACTTTACTTGGGTCCTCTTTATGAACTATGCCTCTGCAAGCTTTCCCGTGCCGTGCAAAGGTGGAATTTTGCGAAGACCATTGCCGGGTGGCCACAGATGCCGCCGAAGACCCAATAGCCCATTCAGGCTCCCATTGTTTTTTTTGGGAGGTCTTAGGTTTTCATGCGACCAGGTGGCTCCTAGTCTTGATAACTTAGATCGATCAAACTGGATCGAAGTGTATCAAGGAGTCGTGGCCGCGGTATGAAGCATGATCTCCCAAAGACAGTGGAGCAGTTTTACCAATCGGGGAAGGCACAACTGTGCAATATTAGTTTGTGTCCGATACACCAGCTAGATCGTCATCTTGTCATCTCATCATATAAACCAATTTTAAAACTCATGTAAATTTAAATATATTAATAATAATATAATACTGTTGTTGTGCAGTTGGCCCACGTAGATTTAGTCGACGCGTGACGGTGCTGTGCCTGGACACCACTGGTGGAAAGCAGCCTCGGGTGTGAGATCTGGCATGTATAAACTTGCTAGCTGATCCTCGGAGTGTTTTTTATTATGCAAATCTTGTTGTCCAGTATTGCGCAGTGCTAGGGACATCTTCCATGCAGCCGTGCATGCATGGGAGTTAGTTTTGAATAGAGCTCAGCAGGGTAGCCAAACAACATGGGGGAAGACAGTGGAAAAATGACCGAACCTTTGTCGTTGAACCCATTGTAGCTCAGCAGAGCGAAGTTGCAATCATCACCAAATGACTATTAATTATTAATATTATCTGGAACGCTCAGAGACTGTTCATTCATCGTGTGATTTGCCGACATCATGTTTGAACATGGTTTCTCGAATAGCCATTTGGAGGCTCAGTTCTGCTTTTGAGTGAAACAGTCGATCACGATGGCCGGTCGGTCTCGGGATTGGAGAACCAACCCTATAGCGCTTAGTAGGAAGACTGCGTCGCTCCTGATGTCATGGGGGGTGCCTTTGTTGCTGCTTCTAGTCTTGCAACAGTGGCATGTGATTTCTGAATATATTACTATAGTTATATATATATAATATAGAATAATTGTGTCATGTGAGTTTTGGCACATATGTTCCCTATTACATTTAATATCATATCGATCAGTCCCTCGCGCCCAGGTTTCATGCATGCGATATGCTGGCGCAAACGGTCCCCCAGGAGTACTGCGCACGGGTCTGGTGCCAAGCAAATTTCAGCTATATGACAGTTTATGGGTGCTCAAGCAACAGAATGCATGATGCATGAGCGTCTTCGAAACCATAGCATGCCTGTGAAAAAGGCAAAGTTGCAGTTCAATGCTTCATGCATGTTAATTGTTGATGACTAATTCACACATGTGTTTCTTATTATTTCATCCATAAAGAAGGGTGGAGTTGAAGATGGCATGCAAGGAAACAATATTTGATCTAGATACCTTTAAAACTTGCATGAATAACAGTTGAACGGTTGCAGATCTTTTCTTTTTCAACAAATTGAATAGAGATCACTCGTACTCCATGGAGGTACAAGCAACAATAGACCGGCTGGCCTATATAGATGACATCTTTTCAGTTCTGATCTTCATTTATCACATACAAGCAATTATTGTTTGGCTGTTTGTTGCCTGGCTACAGTACTCAAACGCTTATCGCACGTGTGGGTGTTATATGTTCTAGTATAAAATAGAATGCCATTTATAGCAAAATATATGTTGACCGAATCTAGAAAATATAGTACGTATAGTAGTTACTTACTATTCAACTAATAAGTATTGTAATGTCGTATGATCTACATAAGCCCTGCGAGTCCTGGTCCATGCCCAGAGCAGGCCTGGGTGTCGGGCCATCTCAGCCGTGCCAAGGAGATCCTTTGCTTGGATGCCTTCTGTGGCCAGCGTGAGGTGAGCAAAGCATTTGGCCGGGGGGGCCCAGTCAAATTGGTAATATTCAAACGGATAGTGATGATCAAGTTTTGAACATGCTGTTTGGAGGGGACAACCATGAAACGACCACATGTGAAACCCTGCACGGATATATGATATACACCTTCACAAACTTGCAATTATCAAAATCTACAAGAGTTGCGGCTACAAAATTCGCTTGGCTAGAAAGACTTGCACTGTCTTTGGAGGTCGCGCAAAGATGCCTGCGTGAGAGCCTAAGAAATCTGTCGCCGCGTCGGCCAATTGGTTTGTGAATTAGGAGGGACACCTTGCTTATATACACACATGATCGTTGTTGAATTACACTGGTCTTTGCGATTGTAGCCTCAACTAAACTTGAAGCATCAGCACCATTGCTATTCAATATACTTTGTAAACTAGCTAGTGTAAGTTCACTCATCATGTCTGCATAGTACAGACCTACAACCTTTATATCAGCGGTGGTGGTTCCTAGAAGTAGTCTGTGTATGTTCCAATCAGCTTCATTGCACCTTCCAAGCCCTATGAATCTGTCGACCCCTGGCCTCAAAAAGCCCATGGGTGTATCACCGCATTGCCTGCGAGAGCGTGCGCCCAGGGACTACTTCGACGTGGAGCTGATGGGGGACTTTGGCGACATCATGTCAACGTTTCTCAGATTGCATGTGCTCCATCAAACCCTTATTAGATAATTTGTGCACACACAATGGAATCATCTTGGCTTCTGAATCACTGTAGGATGCTATATAATATATAATATTAAATACATATTTATTATATATTATATGTAATGTCATATATATATATATTATATGTTTTAATATAATATTGATCTGCCCAACCAATCCAAGTTCGCGGTTGATGATAATGTAAATAGTAAATATTATTGGCTGGAGAACTCACACTGTTTGCCCTCGCTTAGGAATGGTTTCTACAATTGCCTCCTCAAGGTCCTGAGGCTTTGCGACGGCGGCCTCATCATGGGGGGGGGGCCGCCCTGCGGCTCTTTCGTTTGGGTGAACAGGGCCACCAGCAAACGCTCCAAGACAAGAATCTTTGGAGACACAACACGTGAATACGTGAAAAAAGCCAATGCGATACTTGTCTGAGACCGTGTTTCTTACAAATTCTTGATGTTGCATCTGTTGACTTGTTCTTTTTACAAATCTATCGATCTCCTGACAAAGGGACTCTTTGGGAAATAAGGATCACTGCTCGATTTGTATTGCTATGCCTTGTGGCCATTGCACGGGGATGTCAAGTTATTTGGGAGCAACCATCCTCATCACTTATGCTCGAATTTCCCTACCTGAAGTACCTGGCAGTGATCATTGATCCTGTAAGATGGGGAAAGGTCCGCTTGTTCGAGGCTTAGTGTGTTTGTTTCCAATTGCAGTTGTGAAATTTACAACGATTTATTTTTATTTGTATAATGAAGCTGATGCTGACATTTTATACTTGCAACTGAGCCCTATGGGAGCATTTGGCCACCCAAACACGAAGCCCACGGTTCTCTTCGGCACACCGCGTCTAGCTTGCACAACCTTCGTTCAAATATGTTACGACTTGCCCTTTAATGCAGTTAATATAGACCAGTCTGTCAAACCCGCTCAGGCCCTATTTGGAGACCTTCAAGCGGAAGCTGTCTGCTAAGGACAAGCGCCGCATTCAGAGGAACAGATTGATTAAGAAGCATCAGATGGTGATCAAGACCATCAATAAAACCTCTGGGAAAACACAGGTGTGTCTTGACTCAGAAGCGAGTACGTAAAACTCACGCACGTACCAAGTCATCATATGCAGTGCATATATTTTCTGCT